CAAATCAAAACATGAATTGTAGCACTGATATCTGTTTTAATGATGATATTTCAATCAAAATTGCGGTGCAAAACTAGTTCGTGGGTGCTCGATTTTTGGATACGGTAGGTACGAATGTACGCAGTGGGATCAACAAACACCAATCGCTGTTTCTTTTCGACTTTTGGCTTTTTTTGTTGCTGGAGAGTGTGAATAAATGCTGGTGCCTAAACCCTGATCTCAAGGAGATATAGGAGAAGGACGCGTTCTAGCTCAAGCCTCGCAAGGATACCGCAACTAGGATAGGACCGAACCTTAAGGGGCAGAGGAGGTTAGTAAGCACATTTTGTTCCCCCCCCCCTCCCCGGTAGTTTCTCCCTCCTTACCATCGGACGAACGTGAAGGAAGAGGCCTAATCCGCAAAAAAGTGAATAAGCGTCATAACAATCACTGTGACATCGCGCCCTAGGGTAGAGCATACTCCCTTCTGACCCTACCCCCACCCCTCCCACAACTAGCCATTACGTTGTGGGTCTTCCTACACGCAATCAAGGAAAATAGTTGATAGTAAAGGTAAACAACAAACAAGTAAGAAAGTAACAAACAAATAACATAATAATTAAATTTTCACAAGAATTGTTTACTTTATCAACACAGAAGCCACAAATAGGGCTCCTCCCCGATTTTTAGCAGTGACCTCCGTGGAGAATCAACTCGCACAAATGCCTTCCGTGTACCGTGCTTTCCCAGAATGCTACTGGGTATCTCACATGCCTTCCTTCACTTTTTCAAGGATTTTCACCATATACTATGGGCGGAAGTGGTGTAGTGGCAAGTGGCACGCTTACCACGCGAGCGGTCCGGGGATCAAATCCTGGGTCGTGAGTCGCCCGGGCCAACCAAGCCTTCCATCCCTCCGGGGTCGGTTAATTGGTACCAGACTTGTCTGGGAGGATAAAAACACTGACTTGTACATCGGCTGGCCCCGTAAATGAAAAGTCTAGTGCGTGCGCATCCAAAAAGGGATTGATCAACGCCTTTATCCTCATTACCAACCTAAGCTGGTGAATAACCAGTATAAAAATGGACTAATATTGAAAGCAGACTCAGATTCCAAGGCGGAGTTTACGATTAGATTACAGCCCGTTAGAACTAATGTAGAGGTGATCAGTGATGCCAAGCGAAGAAAAAACATGAGAAACGGCTCAGAACTCGAGAGGTGGGAACCCCCCCCCCCCAGCTCGCCAAGCTTAGGACTCAACGCCTGTTTATTTCTGAATCATAAAAACTTGCAAAGCAATATCACAGAGGCTTCCCAACGTACGTCATTATAGCATTCCCCTTCTCCACTTGATTTGTGGTCGAGTTCATGGCGGCTCTTATCACATGATATGCGTAAGGCAGATCATAGCATACGCTGATCCATGAGATCGCTCTCAATCGTAGCATATAGCGCTGCTTGAAGACGTCCATCCTGAAAATAGAGTTGGTTTTAATAGTTAGGTAGATATAAGAGGTAAGGAGTAAGGTGTGACAGCCACACTGTATCATTCAGCAGCGCCACTCCGATCTACGGTGGTGTAGGTAGCCACGGGGTTCTGTTTCATGCCTTTTGGACTCTCTTTCCGTGCTGGACTACCCAGGGCCGCATTTTCATATAAGGTTACGGAGGTGCCCCCTTGGGGTTCAAAAAGAAAGTTTGATCTTTCTTTTTCTTTCTTTTTGATGCATCGCCTTAGAGTCTCTCTCGCGGCCCTACCAACTTACTCTGAACAAACTCAAACAAACTCAAATGTGCAATATATTTATTTTTATTGCCCAGCGTGAAGCGAGGGATCAAAAGGAGCTACCTTGCAGACCCGTCAACGCTCGCGTCAGGCGAGATAAGCCCCCCTCTCACTACCAGTCCGGCGAAGGAAAAGGCCACTTTCACTGACAGGCGATCCAGCCTATGGTGAAGTCAGTGCTTACTTTCTCCGAGACAACTGTTCCTCCATAAACGAAAGGGTTGGAAAGTGGCCAACCGTGGCAGAATCAGATCCGCTAAGTGCACTTTGCGTTACCGAACACTGCGCCATGACGCCATTGACGCTGCCAATAAATGATTATGAAAGTGCTGAGGTACATGGCGAAACACGGGTACCCCCTAGGAGGCCCGTCGCGCGAACAAGAAGGAGAGTCAGCGACGAGTTCGGCGCGCGCGTACTGTGGCGAAACACTTGCTCCAGCGACGAGATCTGAACCCAGCACTATCACCCGCTCAAGGGAGCTACCTTTACTCTAACATCGCCTGATTTAACCTCTGCTTTGATAATAAAGGCATTACTCCACTTTACCTGAATTTCCCTCGCAGCTCACACGCTCCATCACAGTACATAGGGATCGTGTTGATCGAAGCCGGTTGAGAGAATAGAAACAGCGCAAAAGGCGAGCAGCTGGCTGGCTTCTCAGGAGCAAACGGTATGTAGTTAGCCTTATGAAAAGAGATAAATTAAAAAAAAAATTTTTTTTTTTTTTTTTTTTTTTTTTTTTTTTTTTTTTTTTTTTTTTTTTTTTTTTTTTTTTTTTTTTTTTTTTTTTTTTTTTTTTTTTTTTTTTTTTTTTTTTTTTTTTTTTTTTTTTTTTTTTTTTTTTTTTTAAATTTTTTTGAAAAAAAAATTGAAAAAAAAACGTTCCAGGCGCAAAATGCCCCTAGCTCTCCAAGAGGCAAAGGTCTTCATAGCTTTTCAGGATGGGAAGACTTTATCTGGTACTGTTTCTGGTAGTTTTGGTGTCCTCCCCCCGTCATCCTCCCATGTACTAGCGCTACGTTTTATCTTCAAAAAGTCGATGGATCAACACGGCAAGGTGTGACTGAAATGCGAAGTCATGCAAAAATTTCTTCGACTGGGATGGGGGGGGGAGGGTCGATAGGATTCTTTACCCTCTCCTAAATGATTTACGGATTACTTGAACTTTCTTCTATGGTCCTTGCCACGAATTGTAGAGCACAGATGATTAGAGAACGGCGTCCGGTACGACTCCAAATCCCAAGAAGAGGAGAGGAGCCCTAGGTCTAAGTCTTGGAGGGGTGGTACTCAGGAATGGGTAAGCCGATCACATGTGGCGAAAGTTTGAATGTTCGAGATCACTTTAGTCATGAACCGCTGTTCAGACAATAGAGAGCAGGTGGAAATGGAAGCTGTTCAAAGAACCGAGTTCAAGTAGTCCGTGAACGCTTCGAAGTGGACCCATCATACGACAAAAAGAGTATACATCCCAGTAGTTGACCTTATTCCCTATGTCATCCCCAAAACTGATGCAGATTTCCCCATATCTCCAAAAATCACATTCGGGATCTCTGCTCGGGATTTTCCCGACTGATTGTTAACCCTGCAAAAAGCTGCAGACCCTGTACAGGATGCTTGAGATGATTTTTAGCTTACGGCTAGCACTTTGTGACGATCTGTGAACTGCGAAACAAATTGCGAGGCTAAGTGGCTCTATCGCTGTGCACGCAATTCAACAATTGCATTTTTACATCAGTGAAACTTTGACCCGTGCCGCTTACCGTAATCCCATTTGGAGATGAAGCAAGTTCCTGCGACGGAATATCAACGACCATCCAGTGAAGCATTGAGGTGCTCGCATCCAAAGCCACTAAGGTGTAGAGCTCGTCCATTAGAGCTGAAAGTGCCAAGATATCAATAGAAAGGGATCAGGCTGTTTTTAAAAGGGTGCACTTTGAGAAGCACAACTTGGGATTGCTTAAAGGCTCGTCTCTCTTTACCCCTAAAAAGGTCCATGATCGTCGCGAACTTCTCGTCAATAATGGACCAAAAAATGCGCAAACTTGCTGATGGCTTCGAACTTTATTTCGGGTAATTGCGTGTGAGATTCGCTCAACATGTGATCGGCTTCCCATTCCTGAAGTACCACCCCTCAAGAGTTAGTCCTAGGGCTCCTCCTCCCTCTTGGGATTTGGAGTCGTACCGGACGCCGTTCTCTAATCATCTGTGCTCTACCAATTCGTGGCAGGACCATAGAAAGAAAGTTCAAGTAATCCGTAAATCATTTAGGAGAGGGTAAAGAATCCTATCGACCCTCCCCCCCCCATCCCAGTCGAAGAAATTTTTGCATGACTTCGCATTTCAGTCACACCTTGCCGTGTTGATCCATCGACTTTTTGAAGATAAACGTACGTAGTACATGGGAGGATGACGGGGGGAGGACACCAAAACTACCAGAAACAGTACCAGATAAAGTCTTCCCATCCTGAAAAGCTATGAAGACCTTTGCCTCTTGGAGAGCTAGGGGCATTTTGCCTCCTGGAACGTTTTTTTTCATTTTTTTTTAAAAAATTTAAAAAAAAAAAAAAAAAAAAAAAAAAAAAAAAAAAAAAAAAAAAAAAAAAAAAAAAAAAAAAAAAAAAAAAAAAAAAAAAAAAAAAAAAAAAAAAAAAAAAAAAAAAAAAAAAAAAAAAAAAAAAAAAAAAAAAATTTTTTTTTATAATTTATCTCTTTTCATAGGCTAACTACATACCGTTTGCTCCTGAGAAGCCAGCCAGCTGCTCGCCTTTTGCGCTGTTTCTATTCTCTCAACCGGCTTCGATCAACACGATCCCTATGTACTGTGATGGAGCGTGTGAGCTGCGAGGGAAATTCAGGTAAAGTGGAGTATGCCTTTATTATCAAAGCAGAGGTTAAATCAGGCGATGTTAGAGTAAAGGTAGCTCCCTTGAGCGGGTGATAGTGCTGGGTTCAGATCTCGTCGCTGGAGCAAGTGTTTCGCCACAGTACGCGCGCGCCGAACTCGTCGCTGACTCTCCTTCTTGTTCGCGCGACGGGCCTCCTAGGGGGTACCAGTATTTCCCCAGTAGCTCAGCATCTTAGTAATAATTTATTGCAGCGTCATGGCGTCATGGCGCAGTGTTCGGTAACGCAAAGTGCACTTAGCGGATCTGATTCTGCCACGGTTGGCCACTTTCCAACCCTTTCGTTTATGGAGGAACAGTTGTCTCGGAGAAAGTAAGCACTGACTTCACCATAGGCTGGATCGCCTGTCAGTGAAAGTGGTGGCTTTCCTTCGCCGGACTGGTAGTGAGAGGGGGGCTTATCTCGCACTTGACGCGAGCGTTGACGGGTCTGCAAGGTAGCTCCTTTTGATCCCTTTGACATAAACAGATTTGGCCACATTTAGAGTTTGTTTGAGTTTGGGTTGAGAGTAAGTTGTTAGGGCGCTGGAGAGAGAAATCTAAGGCGATGCATCAAAAAAAAAGGAAAAGAAAGACCAAACTTTCTTTTTGAACCCCAAGGGACCCGTTACCTTATGAAAATGCGGCCCTGGGTAGTCCAGCACGGAAAGAGAGTCTAAAAGACATGAAACAGAACCCCGTGGCTACCTACACCACCGTAGATCGGCAGCGGCGCTGCTGAATTGATACCAGTGTGGGCTGTGCACACCTTCTCCTTACTCTTACGTCTACATTGCCTTTCTAACTATTAAAACCAACTTCTATTTTCAGGATGGACGTCTTCAAGCAGCGCTATATGCTACGATTGAGAGCGATCTCATGGATCAGCGTATGCTATGATCTGCCTTACGCATATCATGTGATAAGAGCCGCCATGAACTCGACCACAAATCAAGTGGAGAAGGGGAATGCTATAATGACGTACGTTGGGAAGCCTCTGTGATATTGCTTTTCAAGTTTTATGATTCAGAAATAAAACAGCGCGTGGAGTCCTAGGCTTGGCGAGCGGGGCGGGGTTCCAACCTCTCTGAGTTTTCTAAGCCGTTTCTCATGTTTGTTCTTCGCTTGTATCATGATCACCTGCTAATTAGTCTGTTAACGGGCTGTACTTAGCGTATTAGGTCGGTAATGAGGATATAAAGCGTTGTATCAATCCCTTTTTGGGATGCGGCACGCACTATACAATGACTTGCGGGGCCAGCCGATGTACAAGTCAGTGTTTTTATCCTCCCAGACAAGTCTGGTACCAATTAACCGACCCCGGAGGGATGGAAGGCTTGGTTGGCCCGACTCACGACCCAGGATTTGATCCCCGGACCGCTCGCGTGGTAAGCGCGCCACTTGTCACTACACCACTTCCGCCCTACCACGCGAGCGGTCCGGGATCAAATCCTGGGTCGTGAGTCGCCCGGGCCAACCAAGCCTTCCATCCCTCCGGGGTCGGTTAATTGGTACCAGACTTGTCTGGGAGGATAAAAACACTGACTTGTACATCGGCTGGCCCCCGCAAGTCATTGTATAGGCCACATCGCATTCAAACGCCACTACGAATGTACAAATGGAAGTAGAATGCGTGCCGCATCCCAAAAAGGGATTGATCAACGGCAAATGCTTTATCCTTATTTATCTTCCAAAAGTGTGAATTCGAATTCCCTTCAGGTCGAATTGACTGCAACGCGATGGTTCCATAAAATCTGTCGGAGGAAATAGAAAAACATAATTCTCTCGGCTTTGTTCATACCTATGATATGATTCGTGGAATGTGCCACGCATTCTACTTCTATCTAATACCATATGGTAAACAAATGAGTATTTGACCTCAACAATGGATTATGGAGCTGGATGCTTCCGACATCAGCACTACTAACAAGCTTGGTACTGACCGAAACCGACATTATGCTCGGTCGGTCGGAAAATTCGATTGGGGAATGCTCGTTTCAAAAACTGACCTTCAGACCATGCGTGGTCCACTCAATCCCGCGTTATAAAGGACAACTGCCTCATTGCCTCGACTTTCAGATTTTTACAACCCCATCCCCTAACACCCACATCGAATCCTTCATGTCCGGTGTTCGCATAGTTGTTTCTGATACTACTGGACACATTTCCATCTTCAAGCAACCTTCCCTCACCTGGGGAGGGGGTATATAAATGTAAAATCTACTAGATTTCCGAAAATTCTCGGAAGTTCAAGGGACATTCTCGCACTAAGCGGAACCTTTCCTTAATTCTGACTTTTTCAAAAGTTACACGGTGCACGATGCTTGCCGCTTCAAAATCACAAAAGACGACCTTATCCGTTCTAACTGGAACCGGCAGCTGACCCTGTGGAACCCCTCCCAAGCTTGCATCAACTAAATATAAGTACGAGATGGCCCACAGGAATACAAAGGAAACAATTCGGCCATTTTCTACAGAACAAGTGGTGTTTCGAACTGAAACTGCTTCCCTAAATATACACTATTTCGTTTTGCGCCCGTGTTGGACGCGATGTAAGAGAGACACTGCAACTTTGAAATCCGATACGTTGTCGAAAAAACCCACCAACGAGAAGCACACAAAAAGGCGTTGCTATGAGAGGCTCACCGATATGGGTCCTGGCTTGACGATGGTAATTGACATATGACGGACTTTGAATGGGAATTCTGGCCGAGTTAACCGACGGGGGAAACTACGTGGCTGACGGCGCGAGACGGTGGCTTGCACCAAGTGGAAGCGAAGAAAACCGTTAGTGGCTCTTAAGAATCATGGGGTTCTAAAGAGCGAGGTCCGGAAGCATTGCGATTGGGACTCACTTCTGTCGAACTTGCTGACAACAGACATTGACGTCCATCTGTGGCAATTCTACGGAGACTGTCAACCACGAATTTAGCTCTTCCAGTGGAAGACGATTCAGCGATGGAGCGGGTGGATGGCGGATTAGCTCTGAAAACATTTACATATAATCAACATAAACAACAACATCGTCTCAAACAACAAAACAAATAATCATGAAGAATGGAAGGGAGTATGCGCCCATATGTATGGTATCTATGTACTTAAACCATGCATTCATAGATTTCAAGCGTACACCATAAGTAAGCACCTAACTTAAAGGTACAGGTCCCCGTCGACTTGATGTGTTATTTTATGCAATTAGAATGGGAACGTTACTTGGAGAAAAAGCGCAAGCACAAAAAACATCACAGGTCACAGTGAATTTTTCTGTGAGATCGACCGGCTGCGA